TGTTGGGGTCTGGTAAAAAGCAATGGGGGAGGTATGATAGAAAAGGAAGTCTGTGGGATCCCCAGGAGATGGGAGTCAGGTGGGGGATTGGCAGGGAAAGCTGCCACTGGTGTTCTGCTACAGAGTTGGGGATGAGCCTGGGGGATTGGAGCTGAGGAAACAGCCTATCTGGTTTTTTTGATAGGCATAGATTGTAGGTTACCAGGGGGAGGCTGCTGGAGTTGTGGGTTGGTCTAGAATGATCAGTTGGTGGAGGGAGATTAGAAGGGGAAGATTTGTAGCATTCACAGGAGATGGGAGCATGCTGGGAATGGAACATTGCCAAGGGTGTTCTGCTCCAGAGCTGGGGATAAGACTGGAGGATTCAATCTGGGGGAACTGAGAGAGAAGTTTTGTGGGTAGCCTATGTAGTTTTATGGCAAGCATGGCCTGTGGGTCAGCTTGGGGCTGTCAGCTGGAGTTGGGGGCTGTTTTCTTGTTCTGCTAGCCTGGTGTGTTTCCAGTGAATGTTTTTTGTTTTCTTTTTTTTTTTAAATTATGTTTTCATTGATAATTTGGGAATCTCATATAATAAGCCATGATTGTGCTCACCTCCCAGTCTTCCCACGTTTGACCCCTCCTCTGTGATCTCTGCCCCCAAATAAAAGGAAAAAAATACATTTTGTGTTGCCCATATATTCACTGGAACATAGTCAGATTTCTAATGGCAAACTTCCCAAGGGAGGGTAAGTCTCTGCCTGCATTACTCCAGAAGCCATCAACTGAAAAGGGTCCTGCTGGAACCTGCTCTCCCTCACCCAGAGGCATCAGTGTGGCTTCAGGGGCCAGCCTCAACAGAGGCATCTGTTTGAGCTTTGGTGGTAATATGGACCACAGCCATAAACATGGATTACTGAGCCGTCATGACTCTCAGTGGCTGCAGAGACCACGAACCTCAACATGGTCTAAGGTGGTTTCACATACCACTCACATCAGCACGGCTCCCTGAGGCAGCAAAGCCGGAGGACCAAGGCACTAGTCAATGGAACAGACTGCAAATGTTCTCACATAGATCTCAGGCTTTATTGTAGCTTGGGGCAGAAGCATGGATAACCAATACCAACATGGCCTCCTGAGTCATCTCAGACCACGGTGGACCTTTAAGGAGGTACAATCCAGAAAGTGAACCTTTCCCCATTTCAGGCCTCCATCATTGCCCAGAGCCAGGGGGATCCCATGGCTGGCTTGCAGGTTTGGGGGCTGAGTCTGTGCATAAGCTCCAGAGTGTTGTATACAATCTTGCTGACCCTACTTGACAATGACAGTATGTAGACCTCAGCCTTGTCTCTCACCTATCATCTCCAGTTCTTTCTCTGTCCCTAGCACATGTTCCATGAGGCTTGGATGGCAACTTTTGTTTTCTTAATTAGTCATTCTGACTATAGTAAAATGAATTTTTTTTGTTTTTTTTTGAGACAGGGTTTCTCTGTGTAGTTTTGTGCCTTTCCTGGAACTCACTCTGTATCCCAGGCTGGCCTCGAATTTACAGAGATCTGACTGGCTCTGCCTCCTGAGTGCTGGGATTAAAGGTGTTCGCCACCACTGCCTGGCTCAAAATGAAATTTCAAAGTAGTTTCAATTTGAATTTCTGTGATGGCTCAAGATAGTGCACACTTTTGAAAATATCCCATAGCCATTTGTATTTCTTCTTCTGAGACTCCGTGTTTAGTTCCACAGCCTGCTTTTACTTTTTTGTTTTTGCTTGGTCAGTCAGAGGTAGGGATTTGGGTTTGTAGTTGTCTGGTTGGGGGAATTTGTTGAGAGCACCCACATACTACAGAAGCATGGTTCCCCAGCATCTTCCGTGGTCCTCCCTCCCATCTGTGTTGTCAGATTTGGTGCCTGCTGTGTCCCTTTTAAAACAGTCTAAGTGTCCCAGTAGTTTATGTTCCATGATTTCTGGCTGCACTTCACTGTTTTTGCTTAAACATCAGCCACATGTCTCCTCCATCAGAAAAGGGGATACCAGGGAATAACCTGCTGGCCTTCAAATAG